TATCTGAACATGCTTGGATTTGATCCTGTCACAGAGCTTAAGCACAGGGTTGTCTTTATTTTCATTTGAAAATTGGAACTCCTTCTCCCCATGCTCTACCTAAGTATTCCAGACAGCCCAGGTTACCCACCAATTGCAGGTGTTACAGAAGAAATTTATCCACAAGTAAAACACGCTGGCACCACAACTGGCCTTTTTATTATTTTTTTTACAACTACTTCCACAAGACTTTTCTTCCTTCTACAGAAGAGAACACAACAGTGTGTCAAATATTTGCACTTGCAAGCAAAGAATGGTAAAGCAAAATGAGGTAGTTAATTAAACTAGCCTGACTTGGAAAGGGAATGAATTCTAAGGTTTTTCCAATTGATTTCCAAACTTCAGTTAGCTTGGAACAGACAACAAAAAAAGACCAAAAAACAACCCACAACTGGCTGATTATGTCCTGGCTCTCCTGCATGATTTTCTTACTACGGGTCTCCACAGATATCTTGTAAATATAGTGTTTTGAGGGGCTTTGTGATGGTATTCTGATTATTAAAAAGCGATGCCTATCCAGACTCAAAGCCCAAAAGTGCTAAAAAGGCAAAGTGCATTACAGTCAATTTTGTATTAATTACAAAACTTTCACACTGACCATGCTGGCTCTCCGAATGCAGAATGTCGTCCACAGTGTCTCAGTATATTGTCCACAGTGACCCAAAACAAAGTTTGGGAGTAACTCAAATTAGTATTTCCATTTCCTTTTTCACTTATTAGGAAGAGTTCTGCCTCAAAGCAATGTGGTTCTCCAGATCACAAGATAGGAGGAACTGGGTAGCTATAAAAAAATTAAAATGTTTCCATCCTCTACCATTTCACCAATAAAAACGGTTTCACAGATTACTGTTCAATTATGAAACTGGAAAAATAAGTGTACCGAATATGCATGTTTTCATTTTACATGAGTAATATTTTAAGGTCTAATGCATCAAATGACCTTTGTTCATGAATATTTAAACAAAGCACAGAAACTAGCTAGTTTTAGAAAGTCAGCCAAATTCAGCTACCAGTTCTGTGGCCGCGCAACAAAAAAAAGACCCTATCTAAAAATATCATGGTGAAAGCCTTTCAGGAACTACTATGTCCTCCTCCGTACCTCTCAGTATGACAGCCAGCACTCACCAGGAAGGCACAAACTCCAAATGAAAACTTTATTTCCTTCCTAAGGGTTAAGATGACAAAGGTGGCATCAAATCCCAATAGCCAAACAAAGAAACAGGAGTTGAAATTTACCTGGAACATTAAGTGAATAATCATTTCAATGAGCTGATACATATGTTGCATTGTGCCTTCTGTGATCTTCATTTCTATCTGGTATAATTAACAATCAATCATTCTGGGGGCTACAGCATCTGTTATTACAGAAATAAAACACTAGCAAAGGAGCTTGTCAAGACTGATTTATATGAAGTGCTGCTCTGAAGTTTATTGGATTTCCATAATAAGAAATCATACCATATCAAATTTTTTTACATTAATCTTCTGGGTTGCATATGATAATTCCTAAACAAAACCACAACTTAGTGCAGGGTAAGATTCTCACAAATTATTTATTACATAAATCTGATACATTTTAAACAGACAGTGAACAGGAAGATAAAAAGGGCACCATTTTGTCAGGACAACAAGTTACCTAAACTGTTTTAAGTTAGTCAAAAGGTTGGTTCTCAGAAATAAGTCTAAGTTGCCTAAAATATCCCACCTGACAGAACTATTACTCTTAAGAAAATACTTTTCTAGAAAAGTTCAAGGTGAACAAGGAAAGTATCTTCACCGGTTTCTAATAAACCAAACATCACAGAAGCCTAAGGACCTTTCAACAGTCATTAAGGTCAAACCTTGCAGATCATATTTTCTTGGAAGTACAACATTCCACGTTCAGGCAGACTATTCAGTGGCAACTACACTGTGTCTACACAGGGTTGAAAACTAGCGTAGAGAGGAACGGAGGACTTGTACCACAATACCTACAAAAGAGAAACTTCAGCAAAGCTGAAGTTAATGAGATGATTACAAGACCACAGGGCAAGTCTTACTGCTATACATTACAACGTCATAATGAGGGGAAGGGAAAGTCATGACAACAGCAGTCAAAAATATTACACACAGACAAACAAGATTCTTAAGAGGATAAATTAAGAGTTTGTATAGCACTTTTGTTTCAGAAGTGTGAAACCCTCCCCCATTCAGAAAATGAATCAGCAGTGATTTTCTAAAATAGACATGCACTAGAAATACAAAGAGAAAAGAATCAGAAGAGCAGAAACAAAAATATTTTGGGACTAATCTATGTCTCAGAAGCAAGAAGTCTGTAAGTGCAACTACAAGCTCCTTAGATTCCCAAGTGATTAAAGGGGGTAATTAAAGCAGATAGTGAAGCAGTGAAGTTAAATGAACTAATCTGCATTAGTCTTTTATTATAGATGACAAGGGGAAAGAAGTTCCAATTCCAAAACCTCTTTTGATGATTACTGGCCTTAATAGAGACTGGAGGCTCTAAGAAGGAGCTAGAAAAACTCTAGAGCGGTAAGCCACCAGAATCAGATGGCATCCATCCCAAGAGAAAGGTAGGAAAATCTAAAACAGGCAAGAAACTGAAGTGGATGTGCAATACAGACTGAACTGCAATTCTTATCAAACAGTATAAAAATCTTTAGCACACTGGCTATCTTTAGGAAAGGAACCAAAGGACTAAGATTTATACATTTACCTCAGTTCTGAAGTGCACTGTGGAGCACTGAGAATTAACACTTGACTTTGCAGACGTAGAAGTGAGAACAACAAGGAAGCATTTCATTTGGGTACAGAATTTGATCTTGGATTTCAGCTGGTTACACATGCGAGCATATAGATTATACTTAAACAATTTTGCACAATAAGAATTAAAGTTCTGTTGCTGTTTATTTAGTATTACAGGGGCACATTTTAGATCTTAATCTTATTTTACTTCTCTCTGTTGCAGGAAACAAGGCAAAAATTGATGCATTCTGTGAAATCGCGTAATCAAACAGAAGCAGAAATAAACCAAAACACCAAGGCAAGTGATTTGGTAAGGTAATGTTACGTAAGGAACATTTCTCATGTTAATAATACAGGCATTTTAACTTTAGTGTAGATATCAAGTCATACATACCTAATCATGGACTTGACCAGCTACAAACCAGTTCTACAACTTATACAGATTGAGCTTCTTTTTAATATTCTGAAGTATTTAGAAGCTTCATGTAATGAGATGCTTTACTGACAGTAAAGAAACAGTTAAGCATAATTAATCCGATAAAATCAGTTCCACTCACTTTAAGACAACCAAATAACAACATGCTTAGGATATTTCCTCTAAACAAACAGCTAATGTTCTCTGTTGCAGTGATGGTCAGTTTCTGATGTGTATCACAACCATCTACAAGCTTTTAAGGATTTTATAAATAAATGGTTAAAAACTATGCAACTGTAAATAATTAAAGCATAGCAAGCAGAGGCAGACATAATATTGTGGTCATCAGGTGATATTTAACATTAGCCAATTCACAGAAGTACACCACACTAAGTCGTTTTTCGTTGGTATCACTGGTCAGTTTATTTTTACTGAATGAAAACAAATTACTTGAGCCTCAAGCATTTTGAGCAAAGAAAGCATGGGTCGCTCTAGATAGTCACGGTGCTGGACGCTGAGGCAGAGTATTCTTAACACCACTTTTAGGAAAGGAGATCTTTAAAAATTAAATCTGAAGCTACACACTGCATCCTCTCTTGACAGTTTCACAAAAAACATGGCTCAGCTGAAGCTGCTCCCAGCTTCCAGTCCTACCAGCTGTCCATGGAGTCTAGACATTTCTCTATTGATTACCCCTAAAACATATTACAGGTCTAGCTAGAAACTCATTCAGCAAAGGGTACATCCTATCCTTTCCACAGCTTTCACAAGCGCCTGCGATTAGAATGTAGCCAATAACCATGAAAATGACAGGACATAACTCAACTGTTCATACCTCCAAGATGTGTTTTATGGATAAAAGGCGACATAAAAAAAGGAAGAATGAAAATTGTTTATTGGTAGAGTCAGTTTCTTCAGAGTAACACATGACCAGTTACACATAATTCCTTTTATTATATTTCAGGAAGGAAGCAATGAAGACACAACAAAGGTCAGCTTAGAGTCACTACCACCACAATTCTCCAAAAGCTTCAGATAAGGCTCTGGGGAAACCACCAACTATAGATTTCACTATGTTACCAAAAAAAATGGAATGACAGACAAGTTTCCTCATCTTGACCTTAAAAACTCATTTCATGTATCAAGATTTACTGATGCTAGTGCTCCCCAGCCTCCTCAAAACAGTTAATTGTTGTGGCTACACTGCAATTGTGTGAGCATCTCAACATACACTCACATCTATATAACTACTCAGTAACGCTTTATTTATGTACATTACGTTTATGCAAGAGATAACTGGACACACATGCATCCAAATATAAATGACAGCGAAGACTGGATCATGAGTGGGATGAACTCCAGACAGTCATTACCACAATTACCACATACATGACACTATACCTCTGATGGCATTACAAGTTTTTCTTCCGGGAAATAACTGTTTTTTCCTACAGGTAGAAGCTAGCTGGACTGAATGATAGGACCAATAGCCAGGTCAGGTGCCAGCTGAATAAAGGGACAATTCCAGCTGGTCTACTTGACCTGAGCAGCTTCCTATAGAGCATTCACTGCTTGTCATCCCAAAGGCACCACCCAAAAGTTTATCACTGGAGTTCTGTATGTTACATCTTTGAAAACTAGTCGGTATTTGAAAGGAAGTTATGATATCCTAAACTACTACCATAGTCTTATTGTGATCCTAAAATCTATTTTACCTGCTAAACATTGTATGCACTATATGCTTTAAGTAGTCCAGAAATAAACAGGAAGATTGTTCTTCCACACAGTAGTTCTACATACTTACTGTATTGAGTGCATTAAGTGTAGTGTCGTCACGGGAGGCTGCAACACAACCATCTTCTGTGGATCCTCCATCACACATGCCTGCAAAAGCTGCCATGCTCCTTTATAGTTTGAGGGGAAAAAAGTTTAAATTCTTCAGCTGCTGTTTGATGCACACATCATACAATACACAAATAGTATATTCACACATTAAAACACAAATTTCAGGGCCTTGCAACACTGTGGAAACAAGTAAAACCAGGCACCACAAACACTGCTATTTGTTAGGTAAACCCGAGTCACCTCAGCATATGGAATGATTAATTCAAAATTAAAATCCAATCTAAAGTGGATTTCATAAATTAAAAATCTGCACTGCAGTAGTACCAAAGCCTGATCAGGATTATGGAAGATATAACCTCCATACATGAGGACAGAGTCTCACCAGAGACAGCAAACCTGTTGTTGTAATCTTAGTTTCATTAAGTTAGAAAAGTGACTTCAACTGCACATTGCCCCCACCTCTAAATTCCTGCAAACTACAAGCAATTTGCTCATACTCTGAATTATGAGGCCCACCAGTGCATCTGATAGATCTCTGGCATGCCTGGTAGATTAATGTGAAACTGAAATGCAAACTAGAGTGCATCCGAAAAACATTTAGTCTCCGAAAGAATCCTATGCTATCACGGCTATTCTACTCGAAGCAGTTACTTCCCTTGTTACATGGTATGCATCCAATGCTCTTTCTATCATGCTAGCACCCACTGCTGGCTTTGCATTTTAAATCCAAAAGCCACAGCCGATGGAACAATTCTGTGTTGGCTCAACATCAAATGAGAGCATGCTTGTCTTGAACTAAACAGTTCAGCTTATCCAGTTGACACCCATGCTACATCAAAACAGAACAGAGAGGAGTGACCACAGCCAACCGCACGTACATGGCAGCCCCCATTTCCACTACAGCCTTCTAAAGACGTTGGTAGTATCTTGGCTGAAATTACCTTGCTGCCCTAAGGTACATAAGTAAGTCACAGTCATTGACTCCTGGCATCCACACAAGCTCTTCATGCTGTGTCACTGTGTCACCATCTGGGGAAGGAAACGGCTGCAGATCAGGAAGCTTAGCCTGGAAAATAAAGGAAGAGTTCATACAGACATTACAGTTGTGAACAGTGTTAGGAGGATGCACAAGTGTTATTACTCATGAAGTTTGTAAATACTCTGGAATTATTATGATCTCACAGATGGAAGACATTCAGACAACAGGTGGTGAAGCTATTTGATCCAAGTTTCAGAAGTTTGAGGAAACTGGGTCATCAAGCCCCCACCTAGTCACTTTATCCAGCATTCCTTCTTTTAGAAGGGCAGTTCATTTTCTAACAATTATGCAGGGTTAACGCCACCTCTCAGTCCATCACTACTGAAGTGCTTCTATATACAGACCAAGCGCAAGGATATCTGTAGAAATATTGCAGCTTGAAAGAAAACCATTTTGTACTGCGTACGTAGTCCTCCGTTGCATAGAAGTCAAATGTTGTTGGGACAATTTACCCTCAAAGAGACAGTTAGTTTTCATTTGTCAAAAAGATGCTGTTACAACTCCCGCTTGCCAGGCTAAAGCGTACTCATATAACACACTAATATGAAAGAAGGAAAGAATGTGGCTACCATATGCGTACCATTTTACGTCAGTAAAAAACCCTACACATTTGACACTACATTTAAAATTAAGTCCTCAGTAAATCATTAAAACTCTAATGAGAAACCGAGACATTTCCTGAAAGTGAGAGAGCTCAGTGAAATGAACTCTGCCACTAAATAAGTATTACACTGTATCCAGAGACCCAATTAGCATCTTTAGTCATCTACTGCTATGGGATGAGATAGCTGAGAGCCTCTTCAGAAACAGCTTTTAAGCCCTATAATTACCTCCTATGCTTACAAGGCTAAACATATTTGAGAGGCAACATTTATACATAACCAGTAATTACAAGTCACAGGTTCAGATGACTTTCATGTTCTGCTCTTTAATCCGTACTTTATTTTACTTCTTGCCTGGGAAAATGGATGTGTCATTGATCTTCTCTTCCAGAAAAGGATAAGCAAGCATTATACCAGGATGAGATTTCTATGAGAGCTATGCATTCTAGTAACCAGGGTGCTTTCACAAATTAACGTTCATCCTTATGTACCCTAGGAACGTGCTTAATTACTTGAGTTACTCCTAAGAGCAACCTCTTCTTGAACACCTCTGGTCATTAATTTGTTAGCCAAAAGTTTTCATAGGAGAACACTTAGTAGAGACCCACTCCCCTCCTCCTATGCATGTAAATTTTGAGAACAACTGCAATTCTACAAAACATTTATCTTCCTTTGTGTCCCTACTTGCTAGTATGATACAAGCAGTAGTTCGAGGTATCTGTGCACAGAATATCAAAAAAAACCCAAACCAACAATCTTCTAGCATCTGTTACATTCAGAATTTAAGGAAAGCGAAGGCAACCGCTATTGGGATCTCTGGTTTGTTTCCGGATTCTGCTACATAGACCTTATTCTCAATAAGGTGGATGAAGGAATGCGTATTCCCTGAGTTAACAAAGCCCAGCGTGTAGAGGAAACTACTTTACACTTTCCACAGAATGAATCAGACTATGGAACAGAAAGCAGCAAATATCATCTTCCATCTGACTTCCTCCCGCAGCCTACAATCAACCATTCATATATCTTAAGATTATACCTTATACTAATTAACAGGATGAAGCTATATCCTCTTAGCGATGACATTTCACAGAAACAAAGATGCTCAGCAAACGAGTGAAAGAACAATGGAAGCTTGAAATATTAAACAAGCAAAAGTTAACAGTATTCTGAACCAGTGGGTCTTCTTCCTACTTTTTTTTTTCCATCCATAAATGTATCTGGTAATTATACCTTACAGCACAGGTGACTAATACCTGCCAAAATATTAGATGACAATTTGAGATGAAAGTTGTTTTGAAGGTATCATTTACAGTACTCATTACGACTAGTGAAGAGATGACTACAGGTTTAACTGCCAAATACTTTTTTCCTCTAAATGCAAAACAACCTTAAGAATGTTATATAGGTTCCATAAATATTTACTTTCACTAGTTATTAAACAAGATTTTAAAGAGAGTCTGAATGAATATTCATCACTTGGATGCAAAAACCCAGCACTTGGACAGTACAAAGCCAGTTCCACAGGTAAAAGAGAGCACCCGGTTCCTAGCGATAGACCTGGCCTTATAAACCACAGTAAGTTGTATGTTAATGCTCTCTAAGAACAGGAATTTTTCGATGCTTACGAAGGATTTCCCTCAAATTAGAACTAACTTAGATGGAACAAACATAACATCTACAGTCTTCACCATCTTCTGCTTCCCAGCGTTTTAACACATTCAGCATGCTTTCTCAATTTCTGTTTTAATAATCCAAATGACTTAAGGCAGTGCTCTTAAGAGCTTACAGTTCTTATTGCTTCAACCAAGCAATACAACTGAGGTCTGTCTATCTTTAAAATCAAAACTTATCCTCTCTGCAGCATCAGAAAGTGAAAAGAAAGCCTACATAGAACACTTCCCGGGAAATACAAAGAAGGTACTATAATTATAACATGACTTCTGTAGACTATGGACAAGAGGGATATTTCAATAACTGTCCAGAATTACCCTGCCTCCTAGTTAAAAAGGAATTTTAACTGCTTTATACGTAAATTCTGCAATTAAAATGGGTGAGGACCAGCTAACTTCTTGAATGGCAGCGGGAGAGCGTGTTGGTGACATTGGCACGTGGAAACACAGGGAGAGGGTCTTTAGAAAGAGGTCTGTCCCTAACAGCTGCCAAACTGCTCCAATTATAAATACTAATTTCATTTTTAAGATGACTGTTGAATTACTAAATACACAATGGCCTCCTGATTTTCATGCTGAAGTACCACAGTTGGCCAATCTCAAATTTTAACATACAAAACTAAGCAGGGAACACGTGCAGACTTCCAAGTACAAACGCAAGTCAACGAGGGAATGCAAAGCCACAGACACGACACCAGACACAGCACACACAGACAAACATGAAAAGGAGAGCAGTGAATTCTGCATTAGCGACAGCTACATTAACAGCCATGCTTGAAAGCGCTGTATCCTGTGTTAAAAGAGGAATACATACATAAATATATATGTAGTTCTCAACACAGTTGCTGTACGGGAAAGAAACCTCTCTCAGGTTTAAAGTTCCCCCATCCTAATTTTGTAACGTTGCTCTTGGAAAACTGCTGTCTTTCTTTTTTAAGCACTTCTAATAGAAGTCCATTTTATTTAGATAGATAGATTCATGAAAAGGACTGTTATAGGCAACACACTATCAGCTTGACAATTTTACTATGCAAATGAAAATTAAAAGATCAACTTTCAATGTAACTGGAAGACACCACCAAATTATTTTTTAGAGTTTGTTAAAAACATTGCTCGGTGAAAGCCAGCTGAGAATGCATTTATTTTTAACTCCAGAATGTGCCAAATAACAGCTGAGATTTTCCTTCATTTCCAGTAGTTACTCATATTCCTTCAATCTTATTCTAAAATTAACCCAATAGCACGTCTGCTAGTAAAAATCATTAACATATCAACATTTGACATAGAAAAAAGTTCATTAACTGAGCTAAGGAATGCTAAAGAACTCATGATGACACTAAAATGCATACAATTTTAAGTAAGTGTCCTCTGAACAGATCAAGTGCCAAATGCATGCCCTCTGGCTATTAAAATACGAACAAAATCCCTTACCTGATGGCTGGGTCCAACTCTGATTTCACCTTGCGTACTGTTCAGCCTCCTAGTATATAAAGAAAAAAAACAGTAACAAGAAAGAATTACAATTAGTGAAATTTAGGGTCATGGTCTGTATTTGTTGTCATTGCATTTCCAATGGAAATGGAAGAGACACAAAAAACAGTACTTTATTAAGAAAACAAGAAAGGATATACTCAGATGTATTACAGGCCACACTGCAAATGGTAAAACCCAACAGGGCGAGCCAAGAAGTAGTCAAGAAGAGGATCAGTGTGATCTGTCCTCACAGCAGGAAGAAAACATTGGGCAGCTGATCATGGGACATACATCTTCCTACTTTTTGATGTTCAGGTTTCATGCAATACAGAAGTAGCACTGACATCTAATCAAGATCTTTTAAAAACCTCTATCGCTCTATGCTTTAGCCAGCCAACTCCAACGCCTGCTACGCACAGAATCACCTTCCAACAAGCACCCCACTTTTGCTAGTACTATCTGGCTTTCACTGCCTATTTCAGCACCAAACCTAAACGAATGCAGACAACAATGCTAAGCACTATTCTACAGATTAATACACAGAAAATAACACATTCCTCATGAACATCTTAGTGGTCATTTTCATTCTGAAAGAGAAAATATCTTAAATAAAAGTATTTGGGGTATTAACCTTTGAACAACAGAGCCTTGCATTACCAGATTTGGCAAAACTGATTCCTCTTTTTCCAGGCAGAGTTCATGGAAAACCATTCAAGTTACTTTAGATCTCACAACAAAAATCATCTCGCTCTTATTTTAAGAAGTTAAAATTATTATTGCTGTTAATTCATTTGCTAAAATCTCATCAGATAGCATGGCACATAAGCATGGAAAAAATCTAAAAAGCAATAAAAACATCCCTTGTAACATTTGTAGAAGTGTATTTAATTCACTTCATCCAAAAAGGGCTTCCCTTCTACATAATACACTTGGCCTTCATATTTTTCCACTATTTTGAAAAGATATTTATATAAAAACCTTCAAGTTCCAAATGAACTGTCCTCCACGTAGCGAGAACTGTACTCTGAAGGGCTCTGGGCTGCTCACATCATTGGCTGGAGTTACTGAAACACCACATTATACGGTAGAAAAAACCTTATTTGTTAGTGTTGCAGTAGAATTACTCCAGCAACAAGAGCAGATAAAGGTATGCCAATATAAGCCAGAAAAACACATCTGACATGACAGAACTTACTTTTCTTCCTACATTTTGAAGAGGCTAAGACATTACATATAACTTTGACCCTTTTTCTTTATTAAATACATTATAACATAAGCAACAAGGAGGCACACAAACAAAACTATTTACTGGAAACAGGAATTTCTCAAGGGCTGCAGTTGAACCCATGGGACCTCTCTGCTGTAATCTCACATATCCACCTCCTGTCAAGAGCCAGATCACTATAGTCTATAAAGGAACTTGTGCCCGAACACTGGTATTTGGGATGGTGAATGCAGCTACAGTCTGCAAACGTAAATGACCCTCCAAGACTCCAGTAAAATAGAATTAAAGAGCACAACCAAATCCAAGGAAATCCAATAGCCTTAAGATCAACATTCTTCTTTTCCTATAAGTTTTTCTTATTTAAACAGATATCTCTTACTTATATTCTGCATATTACATTGAAAGAATGACAGAATTCAGAGCTGTTTTAAGACAAACTTCTGAATTTAACACTTCAATAACTGCAAGACATTTCAGCGAGTCTCAACACACTAGGAAGGAAGAGCACACGCATAAACCTAAGAGCTCACCATCTTTAATCTCGAAACAGCACGCTTGATTTGCTGTTACAGGAATAACGACATCATTTTACAAGTAAGCTGCCGCCCTGCAGGATTTCTTACTCACCCTGCTGTGTTCACAGGGACCATAAGCAATGACTGAGAAAGAGTTTCCTTGAAACTTTAGAAATTAAGATCACGACTCTGAGCAAAACTAACAATTGAGAGCCCAAACCATTAAATACCATTTGAAGTCGAAAAGGTGACTGGAGGGTTTTTTTTTTACAGGATCATGTGCGTATCTTTATGAACATTTTCACCTCAAAATTTCCAAGTATGTTGTGTATGTGTATTGAGTTCAACTTCACCTTACTGACCATTCTGAAATGTTATTCATTGGTGCACAAGTGGGTAAACTACAGCAGTGGATCTGAACGGACCCTATCCAAGACAAGACGACAGGAGAACCTGTCAGACAGGAACACGCACAGGTTTTGTAATACTCAATCTTATGTCTTGACATCTACACAATGCTACCTTCCTGGTAAGCAGATTTGTTCTAAAACGTGTGCCAAAAGTCTCCTGAAAAGAACGAGAACATGTCAAAACGTTTTTCTCCAATGCGTATTTTTACAAGACATGATCTGACACTGTTCTCTTGTTTTCAGGTTATGCAAAGAAATGACTGAACTAGAAAGTCAATTTTATATTTACAACAAAGGTACAAATTAAATACCAGGGTACATTTTTTTCAGCTACAAGGTGTCAGACTTTTTCCCCATGAGGGAGGAAGGAAGGGGAAACTGCCAGCAGAAAATGCTGCTCCTCTTCCCTTATTCCCAGAATTCATTTTAACGTCATGCACATCTCTACTAGTCAGTGCAAGTCAAACTTACACTTGTCTATGGGGTTTCTGCCAGCTACAATACTTCACACCAGCCAAAGGCCGCACAAGTAGGTTTTGTACTTCAACAGAAAATTAAGCTGTTTTCTGTTTAGATAGGAAAAAACACAGAGCTCCAAATACCCCCCAACTCCCAATTTCTTCAGTTGCATCACACTGAATATGATAAAGCATTTAAGAATCAAGACTGATTATAGGATGCCGGAGCATCCCATAAGTAATTGCAAAGATAAAAGCAAAGTTTTGGATGGGACTTCTGCTCCTAACTATTCATGCGGAGTTAGCTGGGGAAATTCAACGGGGCTATCCAACCGTGATTCCTCATGTGAAAATGAAGTGTCGAGAGAAGTATTTCCGTGTGCCTTTTCATCACTCATTTACCATTTCCTGATTACGTTCACGCCCTAAAGGTACCCCCTTCCCCTTGCCCCAAAATGTAAGGACTGGGCTGAATTAAGCTGCTGTGCAGGAAGCTCTTTCAGACTGCACTACATCAGACTTTTTTTTTTTTTAAAGGGCAGAAAGCTGATCACTCTGCAAGGGTACACAATCTGTTCAGTAATTTTTACTGTTTCCACATCCCCAGGAATAGGTTTGCAAATGGAAAGAAAATTCTTACTGTGGAAACTAAAATGCACTGTGGATTTTTAAGCTAAATTATATTGGTGGAGAGCAATTACAATAATAATGGAACAGCACTCTGTGTTTATTCTATGGGAAAGGAAAAAGAGGACCCAACACTGTATATGAAATCTGACACAAAAGAAACTGATGTAACAAAGCAGTATCCATAGCAACAACTTAATATTTCAGTCCTCTTCAGCTGCAGTGGATTAAATATAATGACAAGATGTTCCCTTTGAAAAGTAACCTGTTGCCATGACAACGTTGTATTCTGCAAAGTAAACAGGGGCTGGTCAGAAAGGAGATGGAAGCCTGCGACTGAATATCAAAAAGGCAAGAAGCTTCTGTAGCAGAGCAGGGCAAAAGCAGCACACTCTAATCCGAGAGGGGCTTGTTCCAAACAGCTCGGGGAGAAGAGAGAGGATGTTCAGTTCAATAAGGCTTTGTCCTTCCAATTCTAAAGCAACAGGGGAGGTTGGAGGTTCAAGGCCAAAAGCAGCACCACTGAGAGACAACAGTTCAGAGGTGAGGATGAGAAAGGAACAGGAGACAGCACAGGGTGGTGTGAAGCTTTAATCTATCAGCTCTAGAAAGAAGGAAAGAGAGGAAGGAAGCAAGGAAGGAAGGAATGCTGGCAACAACAGCTCCTGCACTACTTCCAAAACAGAAACAAGTTTAACCCTCTCTGCTTATCATCTACCTTCTTGTTTATACCGTACACCAGACTCATACCATTTATGCAAAAGCTGGCACAACTGGCAAACTTTGTCCATGAAAACAATGCAGCATTGCAATGCCATTATGGACTGAAACACAGCAACAAAAGAACTGCCAGGAGACAAGAGTTTGAGCTCCAACGAAGTATGCCACATCAGCTTTGAGGATAACTTGGGTTCAGGACTTGCAACACCAACTGCTATTACGCTATTGCCAGAGTCATACCAGATCCAAGGCTGGAAACTTGCAGCAGAACTGTCCAGAGTTTGGAGGCAATGGCAAAAGGCATTTGCAGATTTCTGCGTAGCACTTCCCTGCACCGTCCTATCTTTGTCCTGTTCTTGACATGAATCCAAAGCAGTTCTTTACCCATATCTTCACTTACCTAGTGAAGATCTTTGCTAGGAAGCCAGGCTTCTGAAAGAAACTGCATACGCTGTACACGTAAGGTGGACCTTCAAGGTCACGAATCATGTGTACAAGGTGGGATCTTTGGAACTGTCATACTGCTTCTTTCATGTTTTCCTTTTTACTTTTTTTAGGAAACATGCTATGCAGTAATTGCCCACTTTTTATACTGCCTTACATGCCTAAGACAGGGGAGAGGTAGGTGGTACTACTGCAGTTATCACTGGGAACCAACAATGTTCTTCATCAGTTCATTCCACCCAGCAACAGACACGGTTTAATTTAGTTCTGCTGTGGTCACCATGCACTCAATGCTCTCCACCACATACTGTGCTTCCACTGGCTTTCTGAAACACCTGCTGCTAGCAAGCAACAGCTCAGAAAACATGAAAATAACTTCATGCTACCATTCAGTAAAAAAAAAAAAAGCTACCAAACCAAAACACCAAACCTCATATATAGGACAGCATTCTGTGCTACCCACTTAACCACTCTTGGCATAACCATTCCTGATTCTGTGTATTGAGGCAATCTGTAATTAAACGAGAGGGATGCTTCAACAGAACAAGGTTTTTAAACCAGCCAAATTGCTCCGCCACAGACTTCCTCTCAGTCACTCTGATTCTCTC